ATGAAAACCATGAGAAAATCCATTCATGGGTTTCCTTGTCTTTCCCATATGAGTATGGGGCTCCGCTTGGCGGCCCTTCAGGCCGCCGGAGCTCCGCTAAAATTACAAGGATAAAATATAAACTTGCTGGTAAACAGCCACACATCACGCAAAGAACTTGCTGGTAAACAGCCGCGCCACACACAAAGGACTTGATGGTAAACAGCTACATAACAAGACCTTGCTCGTAAACAGTTACGTCATATTGTTAGGGGACGACCTTTGAACTTTCAGGGGCTAACGAGGAATGTGTGGGCGATTCAAGTTGAGCATGAATTTTATTTATTTTCGGACCCTAAACGCTCAAGATATATCTTTCTCAGCCCTTCATGGATCATGATTTTCTTTTCTCGTTATATCAGTATGTATTTTTTTTGTTCTAAAAGTAGCCTGGATGACGTTTTCAACACAACTACTCACCCCACTCCCCTCAGTAGAACATTTTGCATAGCTTGATCAGCCTGCCAACCAGCCATCCAGCCTCCGGCCTGAGGAACACCTCGCTTGTCGGTTACCTAGGTCGGACATAGCATGTCCTCCAAAAAAGCGTAGTTACGTAGTTGTGCATCCTTTCAAGCATAATACTTGCTTGAGTTTTTGAACGGAAGCAAAAATCTAGCCATGGTTCATCCAGGGGTACAAAAGTAGCCCTGGATTCAGTCATTCTAGTTAGTTATACGGGTATTCAGCATTCCGTTCGATCAATCTCATGCTCAGTCGTTGTTTAGTATACGGAAATTCTTATCAAACCTCTGGTACGATCATTTTTATTCATTTCGGGAAGACATAAAGTGCTTTATTTTGCCCAATTGGCAGTTGTTACCACAGTAGTCTTCCTTGTTTTAAGAGAGTTCGTTCAGTAAAAGGCGCGCGTTGATGGTCAGGAAGGCTTTCGTGTTCTCTTTTGGGCAAAATCTACGGGTTTACCAGGGAATATCATATGCAGTCAATTAAGCGAGAACTTCTTGGCCAGCTGAGTTTGCATGGTTGGTACTGTGACTAGAGCAGCATCTTTGATTTTGGTTTTCTTTCGCTTTCGTTTTCATTTTTGTTTTGAGTTCAGAAGGCGCTTTTCTTAGGACGGGCCTGAACTATCCGTCAAATTGTACAGTTTTTTAATGGTTATTTAAAAACTCAGTAGAGTGCAATTTAAGCGCATTAGATCATATACCCATGTATTCTGCGCTATAGAAATAATAAACTTATGTTATGTTATGTTTAATTTGGTCTGAAATCATATGCTTGATTTAATAAAAAAGAAACGAGAGTTCGATTTGAAATCACGAGTATGATTTCAGACCAAAACTGTATGACACGAAGTTCAATTGCCACTTTATAACGTCCATTTTGAAATCACACGTTTAATCGCTCATAGTAATTACAGCAAGTTGTTCAGTAGTGATATTTTATTGTTCCACCTACAGTTTGTTAAAGAAGCAAAAGCCGGAAATGCTTTTACATCTTATATGCTAAACGGTAAAAGATGCAGTTTAGAGCAAAAAAAAAAAAAAAAAAAAAAGAAAGAAAAAAAAAAATAGTTCAATAAATTGAGCTGGCTTTCAAGCAATCTGATTGGCTATTTTAAACAAGCCTTGAAATCCGACTGGTTGTTTAGTTTGAGTATTTCATCCTCATTGACTGGGAAAAAGATGCATGCGATTTAGAGCCAATCAGATCGCAAGGATCACTGGTGATTTCAAAATAAACGTAATAAAGTTTTAAAACTCAATAGAACGGATCAGTGTTTAATCAGCTTTTTCAAGCACTTCACTGTAATCACTTGAATTTAAAATTTACAAAAGATCCAATATTTCATCACAACAGTGAATTAATTTTCCATCAAGTCCTTCAAGTGAGCTTAATTAAACTGCAAAAATTGACTGGATTGATGAAGTCAGAATTGGACCTCTGTTTTTCCCTTGAAATATCTCTAGCCCTCTATAATGATACTTGTTGAGCAAAATTTTTTAGTTAGTGCACCGAGCTTTAAAATTTGTGAGGTATAATCATAACCTGTACAATCCATTCAATATCCAACGACATTCGACCAAGCCACAAATTGGCGATTTTGCAAAAAGAATATGCATTAATTTGCCTTTTTTGTCCCTCATGGAAATTTCCCATCGACTACAAAGGGATTTGGCTTCTGGTGAAGCCACACCTTTATTTAAATTAGAGTGGTTGGTAGCTCGATAACAAAAAAACACACACCTGCTAGACAGTACATCATAACCATTACTCAGAAGGACCTTAATACAATGTGAGTAAATGAGTACATGTGCATTATAGGTTACCTAGAGACTAGGGCAAGCCTGAAAATTACTTAAATTTGTGAGATACAATCATAACCTGTACAAAGCGTTCAATATCCAACAACTCTCTACCCGTCCACAAATTGGCAATTTTGCAAAAAAAATATGCATCAATTTACATTTTTTGCCCCACATGGAAATATGCGTGTCGAATTCCCGTCAACTGTAAAGGGATTAGACTTCTGGTGAATCCTGGTTGGCTCATTAGCTGATAGCTCGACCACACCTTTGTTTAAATTAGGGGTGGGTGGAATCTGGTGAATTCATCAGGTATTCTTTTTACCTCTTCTCCCTTTCGGTAGCCTGCGAGCAGGCTCACGTTGGAGCGAGACGAGAAAGTGAGCCTGCTCTAATCTCTGTAAATTTTTCATTTCCACCCCGGAAACCGCAGAAAAAAATAAGCCAACTAATTTTCACTGGAAGTACGAACTTTGGCAGCTCAGATTTCTCGGGAAAATTGCAAATATTTTTTCATAACAACATGGAGGCCTGATATCCATTTTTGATCAACTTTTGCCGAAGAAAAACCGTCAGAGCTTATGACTGGCGAGGACATACACTTCATTCCAGGTGATCTTGCTTTGGTATTTTGTTCTTTGATGATGCTGGTAATCGGGCAAACGCCTTCGTGTTGTTTTGTTGCCTCTTGCAATCACATACGTTTGTTATATTTAATTCTTGCCATATGCAGTCGGCAACACAACAAGTACGTCTTGATTGATTAGCATACTTTCAGCTGTATTTCCTGCTCCCTCTTTGGTTTGAAATTTAACCAGAATTATTAAAACATCAGTAATGCGCTCCTCATCAAACATAATGGATTGACAGTTTTCTCGCATTTTCCGCTTTTCGACCAATGGTATTTAACTTCACTCAGGCGAAGCAGAAATGAAAAAATTTCAGAGATCAAGGCAGGGTCACTTTTCCCTCTTCAACAGACTCCTTCCCGCCGGATCGCTTTGCCCTTCGCCCCTCGCGCGCGTGACTCAACGGTGAACCTGCTCGCCGGATACCCTTTCGAAAAAACAACAACAACAAAAACCTATTAGGTAGTACATCATAACCATTACACAGAAGACCTTAACACACAGAGAGTACATATACATTATAAGTTGCCTGAAGACTGGGGCGAGCCTGAAAATTACTTTATTTCTTCTAGTGCAACCCAAGAGCATATAAGGCATTTGTTCCCTAGCTCTTCGTTTGGTGATAAATTTGAGCGTTATTAGTTGAAAGACGGGAGGTACTGTTCTCCATTCATGTACTGATACCCATCTCTTTTGACTTAAAGTTAACTGAGTTGTGTTTTGAAATTTGTATTCCAAGCCTTAGATTGTCCAAGTGGCTGGTATGGATATGGCAACTCTTGTTACATGTTTGTTATCCAGTCCTCGTCAATGCGAGGTCTCAATTGGGAAAATGCTCGCAGAGACTGCCTTGGTTATGGTGGAGACCTTGTTAGTATAGCAAACTACTCAGAAATGAGCTTCGTTTACGGTAAATCTTCAAAAGTTTGGAATCAGTATTACTGGATTGGGCTCAATGATCGACGCAATGAAAGCT